CCTTCAGCAACATTAGGAATAAAAGTTCCTGTTAGTTACCTTTTATTCTTTCAAACTTAAAGGTGACTTGTCATTGTTACATCAGTATGTTTCCCTGAATATTTGGAAATTTAAAATCTTCTCACGTAGATTTGCTATTCTGAGTTGTATGTTCATTTTTTATGGCATTTTCCCCCTGAGGCTAAATAACACTCTTCGTATATATAATACACATTAACCTTTTTTTCATGATACATTTTTCTCATATCTAGTTCTCCAAAAATTAATATGTAAAGACATATTAGAAAATACAAAAGTAGATCCTGGGTAGAAAAAAATATTAAAACATTAAGCACTTTTAAACTTGCAAAAATATTTAGGAAACTACATTGACAGGAGAGTTTAAAGCTTTAAAAATCAAAATCTTTGAAAGAAAATAATTACTTAGCTATATAATAAATAAAACTGTTTTATGCAAACCACGATAATAAAATGTTCAATGACATAAGCAATGGAAGTCTGTTTTATAATACCAGCATCGACTTCAGCTAGAATTTCAGAGCAAATGAAATTCTTACAAAAAGAAGCTAATTCTCACAAGAATGACACAAAAATCCGTTTTTCTTTTTTTATATATATATTTTTTACAAAGTATTTTAGTATCATTACCTTTTGTGTTTGAAAAAGTTAGAGAGACAGTCCCAAGAGAAAGGTTACTGTGGAGCAAACTTAAGTGGAAAATGAGATACAGTTCACAGAGACCTCCTGCCTCTCTCCCAATGGGTATCAATCACCGTAAGTCACATGGGGTTGCTACCCTCCAGCCAGAGTATGTCCAGCATTAATAAATTCCCTTTCCTTCTCAGTTATTTTGCAAACCTGAAGAGATCCTTAAAGGAGCAGCAGTACCTTAAGACTTTCCCATACGACACCAGGAAGCATTGTCATTTGTTGTACTTTGTTTTTATTCCTATGCTTTCTGAGTTAATCCTGAGTGAAGATCTCATAATTTTCCATTCAAGGGCAGAATGAGGGAAAATTGAGCAAACTTTATCATATCGGTTTTACAATTGAATACTCCTGAGGATGTTGCAGTTACATGCTTCTAAGCAGTTCTGTTTGCTTTTAGTTTCTTAAAATCTCCCTATCTCTAAGGCTTTGATGGAGGTATGTGGAAGACTTTCCTGACTGTACTGTTCTGAGCACTCATTTTATGGACTAGTTATCATTATATCACTTACGAAAAATGTGACTCAGCCTCAGCTTCATATCTTCCTTTATTTGCCTTACAGTGTTCTTTGCATTTATTTGTTCTCTCTATTGAAAATTAAAGCATAAAAGCAGAACAGACTTGGGTTCTAAACTTCCATCTGTTATGTGGTGAAATAACTTCTTTCAACCTAAATTTAGACTCCTGACTGCAAAATTAATTTTCATGAAATGGTAAAAATACTGACAAATTTTCTGGTATACCTGAAGCCAGATAGTAATGTTATATGAAACAAAACTGTATTATTTATTCTTATTCTCCAGCAGTAAGATGGGAGTTAGATGCAGTATTTAAAAGCTGTCCAGACATTCACAGAAGCACAATAATTTGAGAAAACTTAGAAGCACATTATTTTTACATAGTGGAAAACAGAAAACTCCAGGGTTACAGATTAGAGGGCTTTCCAAAGCTACCAAGCAACATGCCCAGTTGTTCAGTGACTTAGCCACAGGATCTCAACTGCAACCATAGTCATCTTTTGTTTTTGTATTTCAACGCTTTTTCCATAGTAACAATTTAAACAGAAGTTTCTAAGATTCTGTGGAACTTCATCATTCCGAGTCCTCCAATCTCATAGACCTTCCAGTGTGTAGCTGGCAAATATAATGTCACTCAGCATACAGGCAAACAGGCAAGAGATTTTGTATTTATTGGGGCAAGGTAAATTGAAATATCTGAAGTCATGTACAAGTGCAGAAAAAGTTCTAAAATTCCTTTCAACTGCTGCTTTTTAAGCACACATTTTCTTATCCATGGTTGTAACCCAGTTGCTGTCCTGTTAAAATGTTCCTGTGCTGACCAAGGGAAAAATGAGAATAATATTCTCTGAGACTGCTGCAAAGAGAATTCTACTCCAGAGCTGAGGATGGACTGTGTGGCCTTCTGAGGTCTCTGCTGTAATCAGGTAAATAATCACTTAATGTTAGAGATAAGAATAACAATTCAATGACAAGCTTTCTCAATACAAAATGATACTTCAACTTTTTAATCAAAAGCCCCCCCCATTTCTCTCTTGCACTCAGTGTACACTGAGGCTACTGAGTGTTTGAACGATGGGAGGAATTTGCCCCCAAAGTGAGCAATGCACAATATGAAAAATGAGAGCTCTGCCCACTCCCCAGGGTTTGTTCTGCACTGGCCTGTGGTCACCATTGCTATTCCACCCACCTTTACCAATCTTGATGTTTTTCCTACTTTGAGCCTTGACTGCTGTGGGTCATGGAGGGACATTACCCACAACAGCACTCCATCCTGATGCATTTCATTGATAATAACAAAATAAGCTCATTGCTTTTTAAATTACTGAACCTCAATGAGAAATTGAATGATTCTTCTGTCATTTCAGACAGTGAAGGCTTCTTGGAGAATCAATCTTTTGGCTGAATTCTAGGGGAGAAACAACAGGACTAGGGCTAGTCAGGAGGCCATTGGCATAGGTTAGGAGGAGAAAGCACTCAGAGTCCTCAGCAGTGAAGTACTCCTGAGCAATAATCAGCAAAGTATTTCACTCTTCAATACGACAGTTAGGGAGACCTTATAACATCATCTGAACAAGAGCGCTTCTAAGGATGGAAGAGTTTGACTAGCAAATATGTTGGGACAGCAGGAGTAATACAGCAACATTTGGTATGAACCAAGGATATTAGCATTATTTATGCAGACTTGAAGACAGCTTCCAACATTCGAGCAATTCATGCAAAGTTAGGAAATGTTTCCTAACCAATTCCGTTTGTTCTGCTTTCCAGAATTCCTTGTATGCATGACATTCCTCTCTCTCTCTCTCTCTCTCTCTCTCTGTCTCTCTCTCCCTCCCGCTCTCTCTCTCTCTTTCTCTCTTTCTTTCTTCATCCTCCTTAAAATCCCTCCCTCCCTCGCTCTCTCTCTCTCTTTCTCTCTTTCTTTCTTCATCCTCCTTCTTCTTCTTCCCCTCCTTCCTTTCTTTTTTGCCAGTAAAATGTTCAATGCTCTCAGAATCCAGCCTTTTTAAAATGTCCATATCAGGCCATGGATTTAGCTCAATGGTTCCAGCACCTGCCTCACAAGCACAAGGTCCAGAGTTCGATCCCCAGTACAAAAAAAAAGGCTAAATTCATATAAGATTCATTTTTATAGTATTAATTCTAAGGCAATGTTCATCTTTATAGTCAAATATAGGCTCTGACCTCCATTATACTTATTATTATATAATATTTGATAATTTTAATAGTAAAAGTAGTATATTTATTTATTAAAAACTAGAATAACAGAGATAATGTTAAATTTTAAAATCTGACTTTCTGTTTCAATTTCCACTCCCCAGAGGTAACAGCCTTTAATACTCCTGAATATTTCCAGGTAATTTTATACTAAATTAAATACCGATATTCATTATATTTCCTTATATAAAAACATGAAAGCATGCTAAATGCATTTTCAGCAACCTGTTTTTGCCCTTGAACATTTGATTATTCTTGTGCATTCAGATTTATATCTGAATTTATATTCACATCACATACTTTATTTTATTGACATTTGCATAACAAGGGGACTTTTTGACAGACTGTGAGAGACTTCGCTGCCGCTATATTGAGAACTGCAAAATAAATGAGGAAAATCAAAATACACTTGAATAATAATTCAAAAATTATGTTCCAATCATTAAATTCACATTCCTATACTAACAAACTAAGATAAAATAATAGAAGGTAGTGTTCATAGGGCAGATGCTTTGGGGGTAGGTGAGTTTTCGGCTGGTGGCTTTCACTTGTGTCAGTGCCTCCAGCGAATGCAGGGCTCTGAGCAATCTCCGCCCTGAGACAGAGCAGTCTTCTGATACTTAGATTCCACTGGCTCAGCAACTCACATAAATCATCCCATTTATTCTTCACACCTCCCTTATGAGACTGAAAGTCTGCATTGTAGGGGGAGTGGGAAGGTGGGTTTTGATTCTCAGAATGGGTTTTTGTTGGTAACTCCAGGACATTTCGAGTTTTGAAAGTCACAAGCAATTCCTCCCTGAGCACCTCAGAGGCTGTGGATAACGAGACTTCCTTTCTTCGCCACTTTGCACCACTGTACACAGAAGGCTTATTATGTTCATTTACAATCAAGGAGCACTGAAACCATTGAAAATAAGAAATGTCCCCAGGATGATGAAGTTAACCACTTACATAGTAGGGCCATGAGCCCCCTAGGTTCTGGCTCTAAATATCAGGCTACTATCATCTTTTTATTTCAATTACATGAGATTCTAAAAGGCAAAAGATATGTTTCTCTGAAATGTCTCTGATAGCATGCTAGAAACTATCCACATAGGTTTTTGCGGGTAGTCTAAATTATTTAATTGTTTCAAAGTCAAGATAATAATCTCCTTATATCAAATAACTAAAATGTAAACAGTAATTTAGTAGGTTTTATGACTGAATCTTCTTGAGAATAGCTATGTATGTGGAAATAAAGCAGACAAAGATAAACCAAATAACAAAGAATCAAAGAACAAATTATATAAAAGCTATCTAAATCAGGAATTACTTTTTAAATTTTGGCTTTCATTTCTGAAGTGTGGCTATCAGATATAGAAAGATTAAATTTTAGAAATACCTAGGTAATTATGAACATTTTCATCTGTGTACTTTTTGTGTTATAAGCAATATCAGCCCTGTAAATGTTTTCAAACACGTAGTAAAATGAATGCAAGTGATTGAAATGGTTAATAAATGTTTGTTAACTGACTTCCTGAATGTTTAGGAAACCAGTAGTTGAACCAGTGACTATGAATTGTGTAAATGAGAGCATCATAGAGGAGTTTGTTCTCTTGGGTTTCTCAGATCGACCACAGCTGGAGTTCCCCCTCTTTGTGGTCTTCTTGGTTTCTTACCTCATGACCATCTTTGGGAATTTGTCTATTATTCTAGTGTCACGTCTGGACTCCAAACTTCACACCCCCATGTATTTCTTTCTTACCAATCTGTCATTCCTGGACCTTTGCTATACCACATGCACAGTCCCACAGCTGCTGGTGAACTTACGCAGCCTTAAGAAAGTCATTAGTTACAGTGGTTGTGCAGTCCAGATGTTCATGTTTCTGGCCTTGGGGGCGACTGAGTGTGTCCTGCTGGCGGTCATGTCCTTTGACAGGTTCGTGGCCATCTGCCGGCCTCTGCGCTACTCGGTCATCATGCACCAGAGGCTCTGCCTGCAGCTGGCAGCTGCATCCTGGCTCACTGGCTTTGGTAACTCAGTGTGGCTGTCCACCCTCACCCTCCAGCTGCCACTCTGCGGCCGCTGTGTAATACATCACTTTCTCTGTGAGGTCCCTGCCCTGCTCAAGTTGTCCTGTGTGGATACCACAACCAATGAGGCAGAGCTCTTCCTTGTGAGTGTGCTCTTTCATCTGATACCTCTGACTCTCATTCTTGTATCATATGCTTTTATTGCCCGAGAAATCCTGAAAATTACTTCTACTGAAGGCCGACAAAAAGCATTTGGAACATGTGGCTCCCACCTAATTGTGGTGACACTTTTTTATGGTACAGCCATCTCCATGTACTTGCAGCCACCTTCATCCAGCTCCAAAGACCGAGGGAAAATGGTTTCCCTCTTCTATGGAATCATTGCGCCAGTGCTGAACCCCCTTATATATACGCTTAGGAACAAAGAGATAAAGGAAGCCTTTAAAAGGTTGATTGCAAGAGTCTTCTTAATCAAGAAATAAGGAGTGTGCAAATGATGGTCTCTAAGATTCCCCCAGGTCTTCTCCTTTTCCCCTTGTCCTAATCAAAAAATACACAATGTCTTGAACTCTCTGGAACCTAGCTAGCTGCATGTTTTGGGTGTTTTATTTTGGTTTTAGTTTTGGTTTGGTTTTTGTTTTGCAAGCTTGAACCCAAGCCTGAGCAGGCACTGATGAAAGTGTTTAGGTATTTTCTTAACACACTGAAAAAAGCAGACCCTACCCTGAGCCAAATTCCTTAAGTCCTCATATAAACTACCATACTCTAAACCCTACTGTAGATCTACTTAGTAGAACATCTTTCTTAGTAGAACCATCCATTGGGTGGAGCCTGCAGCACACTCTGTAAGTGCTCCTGATGAGTGCTTTGGAATTATTACTGAAGACCAAAATATGGAAGAGAAATGATGGATACACTCAAACATTTACAGAAATGTAGAAGAGGAATTATACTCGATTTATATGGCTTATATTAAAAAAGAGAAGTCACATAGGGATTATTAAATCCCCGTGTATGGAAGGACTTGTTCACTGTCAGTGCAGAAAAAAAATAGAATGGTTCAATTTGATAAATAGCAATATTCTCTGAGTAATAACTTTCAGTGTGACCACTTTGTTGGAAAAATTTAATGTCATTCAAATACTAGAAGGGTGGTTGAATTATTTGACTTGTAAGATCATTTCTAACACAAGAGAATGTGATTCTATGAGTACAGGTGTAGAAGGAATTTAATTTAGGAACAAAAATAATTATTTGAAGCCAAAGGCTCTAGTGCATTAAAATTTTTAATTAAAGATTACAGTGAATCAGCTATCTATAGACATTCAAAGCTACATAAACTTCTATCCTCTAGATGAGGAATTTAGTATTAATTTGGCTTTACAGCTTAGTGATTTGGGGTAAATGTATACAGTTATTCATTAATCATCTTATGATTTTTCTAAATTGGACTTCCCAGACTCTAGTAGTTATAATAGTTATGTGGAAAATCATATATAATATTTTGTATAATATATATTTTCATTTCTCATGAGCAAATATGTAATAGGAGAAATGCTAGTCTTTATGTTAAGTCTTGTTTAACTTTTTACCCAACTGTCAAACTGTTTTCCTAAATATTTGTACCATTTTGCCTTCTCTCCAACAACATGCAGGTTCTAATTTTTCCACATCCTTAGTGACACATGATGCTTTCAGTCTTTTGATTAAAGTCATTCTAGAGCATGCGCAATAGTATCTCATTGTGATTTTAATTTGCATTTTTTACTATTAATGGCATCAGGTCATTTTTATGTGCTTATTAATTATTCATATATTTCCTTGGTAAAATATATATTCAAATATTTTGCCCACTCATCAATGGAATTGTTTATCTTCTTACCAAGTTAAAAGAGTTCTTTACATATTGTAGATATAAGTCCTTTATCAGATATATGTTTAGTAATTATTTTATCTCAATATATATTTTCCTTTATAAATCCCTTTATTGAAATATAATCACACATGAAAGCATAATTCATTTCAACTACACACTTCAGTCAGTCTTACTTCACTCACAAACTTGAGTGACCATCACCACATTCTACAATTTGTGGAACCCTTTCATCACGCCCAGAGACTGTACACATGCGCAGTCATTCCATTTCCACCCCTACCCACAGGGCAAGACCCTGCCAAGTACTTGAGAAGCACAACCTACGACTCAGAAAATAGGTCCTTATCATACACCAAATCACCAGCTCCTTAATCCAAATTTACAGCCTCTAGAATAGTAAGAAATTTCTGTTTTTTATAAACTATCCAACTTGTGGTACTTTGTTATTGCAGCCTGATCTAAGATGCTTTGTGAATGTTCCGTGGGTACTTGAAAGGAGTGTGTGTGTAATCTTGTTGTCATTTACTTTCTGTTGTTTGACCGTGTTGTTGAGATAGTCAATGTTCATAGATCAAGAGATCAGTATTCCTAAGGTAACAAGGCTTCCCACCCTGACATACAAATTCAGTGCAATCTCAAACAAATCCCAGTTAGACATTTCACATATCAACCGCATGAATCTAAAGACTAAACAGAAAGGCAAGAGATCTAGAATATTGAGCACATTCTGAAGAAGAACAAAGTTGGAAGACTGAATATAAAGTTATAGAAATCAGAGCAACCTGGTATTGGGAAAGTAATAAATACACAGTTCAATGGAACAGAATAAAAAGCCAAAAATAGACTTATGTAAGTATAGTCAACTGACTATTGACAAAGGGATAATGACAATTCAAAAGAAGTGATAATGTTTTCAACAATTGGTTCAACAATTAGTGCTACAACCATTGGTCATTCACACGCAAAAATATAAAACTAGATACAGGCTATATATTTTCACAAAAATTAATTCAAAATAGATCATGGATCTAAAGGTAAAATGCAAAACTTAAAAAGTTCTAGAATAAAAACATAGAAGAAAAATCTGTATAACGTTGGCATTAGTGGTGAGTTCTTAATTATATCACTAAAGCCACAATGTATGAAAAAATTGATGTGGAATTTATTAAAGGTAAAAACTTATTCTTTGCAAAAAGACAAACCACAGATTGGGAGAAAATATTCACAAAATATGTTTTATAAAGACCTTATATAAAATATGCAAAGAAAAGTTAAAACTCAACAATAAGAAAACAAACTAATTTAAAGATGGGCAAAATATCCAAACTGACAATTTACCAAATAAGATATACATAATTGTAATTAATAGCATGTAAAAAGATATTCAGTGCCATCTTATTAAGAAATTGCAAATCAAAACAATGAGGAGGGCCGGGAATTTATTTCAGTGGTTCTGCCATCTGCCTCACAAGCACAAGGTCCCGAGTTCAATCCCCAGTATGAAAAAAAAAAATGAAGAATATCAGATCTACAAAATGACTGAAGAGAAAGATTTAAGATGAGATAATAGTGATGATTACATAACACTAAATATACTTAATTACACTGAACTATACACCTTAAAATGGTTACAATGGTTTAAATGTATTTATCACAATAAATAAAACTAAGCACTACATGATTCTGTACATATAATTTCTTTTTTGTTTGTTTGTTTGGTACCGGGGATAGAACTCAGGTCCTTGCATTTGCGAGGCAGGTGCTGGAACCACTAAGCTAAATGGCCAGCCCAATACATATAATTTTTATAAAACAGCATAATTATAGATAAGAACAGATTAGCGTTGTTGGGGGTTGGGAATATGAATAAGAGGATATGATGTGTGTATAAAGCGGAAGTACATGGATACCATTCTCATATTGTATGAAACAACTGGTCACTTTCTCTCTTAAATTCCAGTATATAATCTCTGTATCTATTTGTGTGAAAATATGAATATTTGTTACTATAGAAATGAACATAAACATTAACTGATAGTTGAGAATGTAACTTTATGTTGTTCTAAGTCTACAGACTTAACCTCGTAAAAGACTCAGCCACAGCTACTGGGCTAAATAATAGCACTTTTGTTAGATCAATTTAATAAAGCTTTGAATGCTTGTTACAGAGCCAATGATCTGGCACTTATGTTCTTTCCCATTTTAATCAGCAAAGCATGAATTCCCATAAGATGAGTGATATATTCATTTATACTTTTTCCATAGGGGTATGTTAACTCATCTGGATCACCTAAATCCCTGTCGAAGAACATCATACTGATCTATGACATCACACTGGTTTGGGTGTCTGAATTCTATCACACTGCTGAGACATGTGTATCTCAATGGGTGGGAGATAGCATTAGAAAAACAGATAGATACGCATGGGAGTGCACACCAATATAATGATTTTATATTACACATCGACTACCCTCAAAATCATCCATCCATGACACACCAAACAACCAAGTAAACAGAATGACTCAGCCAGGCAGCCTCCACACAGGCTGCCCTGGAACTGGCACAATGAACACATGAATGAAGACGCCACCATGCCATAACAGACTTCCACAGAAAAGGGATTATCAAGCCACCACAGCCATTGGAGCCTCCTTATGAGCAACTCTTGGAGATCCTGACATGCTGCTTTTCCTGGGGAACAAAGAGCCACTTGGTAATAAATCAACTACATTTGATCCTTTGCCCCCTTAAAGGGCCAGTAGTGCAACCTCCCAAAGACAGGTATCTCCTAAAGCCTCCATTAGCAATAGAATCTTGTGCAATTCTTAATCCATCAGCATGGAATTCCACAAAGCTTTGCTTCTGACCAGGGGATCCATTTCACAGGAAATCAGGCAAGAAAATGGGCTCAAGACCAAGGGTTCTGTTGCTCATGGTAGATGCTGCACCTTGAGGAAGCTGCTGCCCTCCTAGAATTCTGGAATCACCCTTAGTAGGCACAACAGAAGCAACAGCCCAGAGGCAACACTGGAAGGATCTGTTCCCCTGGTGTGATCTCCACATTGTAAACATAAACAAAGGACACCAGCTATGATTTGCATATGATTTGAGTGGGTCCCCTGAAGGTCCATGTGCTGGAAACTTAGTTTCCAGTGGTGTTAAGTGGTGGAACCTTAAGAGTTTGGGGCTTAGGGAAGGTAATTAGGTCATTGAAAGCAGTGCCCTCAGAAGGGATTAGTCCTCACAAGAGTGAGTTGTTTCAAACAGAGCATATCTGGCTTCCTGTCTCACTCTGTTATCAATATTTCTTCCCCCCACCCCGTGCTTTCTTTCTGAAGAAGACACTGTGGTGCAGCCAAAGAAGCCCTGACCAAAACCCAAACAGATAGGGCTGCCAAATCTTGAACTTTCAGTCTACAAAACTCTGAACTAAACAAACCTCTTTATAAAGAGTCTAGTTTTTAGTTGTTTTGTCATAGCAATGGAAAGCAGATTCATACACATCAAATGACGGTAGATAGGAATATTTCATTCAGAACTTGCTATGGCAAGTGAGTCATCATTCTCTTCATTTGGCAGAGTTACAGGGGCAAACCAGGAGTGAGA